TTTTTTTTTTTTTCTGAGTTGGAAGCTATGTGGCATAATTCAAAAAAAATGGCAAGAAAGGGATTCGAACCCAGGTTGATGGGCATTGTAGTGGCCTTATGAGCCACTTGACCTAACACAATTTATATTAAATATTTGAATTTTCATTTATATATCTCTCAAGAAAGTTTTATTATATATTTAATTACTTTGGTTAATTAAATTTTTATTATAGTTAACGTTATTTTTTATATTAATCTACATTATTAATCTTAATTATTTTTTTATATATTAAATAAATGATTAATAAATAATAAATGCGTTAAATAATATAATAAAAAAATATATTAAATAAATATGTTGAATAATATATATTTAATAAATTTTATAATATATTTATTATTTAATAAATATTTATTAATATATAAAAAAATTTCATAATATACATAAATTATGTATAATTTTATAATTAAAAGCCGTATAAGTTGAATAATATATATATTTATATTTTAATAAAAAATAATATTGTATTATTTAATATATTTATTTATTAAATATAATAAACAAGAAATAAAATTACATTATTGAATATTTATTTATTAATTTATATTTAATATATATATTCATTCTATAAATATTAATTTAACTAATAAAAAATTAATAATATATCACGTATTATTTAATGAAAATATATATCATGTATTAATTTATATTAAATATAAATTAATAAATAAATATTCAATAATGTAATTTTATTTCTTGTTTATTATATTTAATAAATAAATATATTAAATAATACAATATTATTTTATATTAAAATATAAATATATATATTATTCAACTTATACGGCTTTTAATTATAAAATTATACATAATTCATGTATATTATGAAATTTTTTTATATGTTAATAAATATTTATTAAATAATAAATATATTATAAAATTTATTAAATATATATTATTCAACATATTTATTTAATATATTTATTTATTATATTATTTAACGTATTTATTATTTATTAATCATTTATTTAATATATAAAAAAATAATTAAGATTAATAATGTAGATTAATATAAAAAATAACGTTAACTGTAATAAAAATTTAATTAACCAAAGTAATTAAATATATAATAAAACTTTCTTGAGAGATATATAAATGAAAATTCAAATATTTAACATAAATTGTGTTAGGTCAAGTGGCTCATAAGGCCACTACAATTCTCATCAACCCAGGTTCGAATCTCCTTCTTGCCATTTTTTTTTGAATTATGCCACATAGCTTCCAACTCAGAAAAAAAAAAAAAAAAAAAATTGTAAAAATGCCACGTAGACTAGCCGGTAAAAATGACCTGCTTTTGCCGGTGACAGGACCATTTCTCACGATTTTTGCCACTTACGGGACGTGATCCAAAAGTCGGCATCGGAGAGGACCAAACCTCAAATAGGTGCCACTTACAGGACGAAATCTCCAATTTTTCCTTTAATTTTACATTTTATTAGTAGGACTAGTACAGATCCCGTGCTATGCACGGGGTGCACAAAAGTCATTTATCAAGTCTTATAATTATATAAATGAATAAAGAAAAATATACGGGATATATATAGTACGTGACTTGTAATAGGCCAAAATGTGAACACGGGTGATGCACGAGGTGCACAATTTTAAGATCATTTATTAGTACAGAGTTCGTGCGATGCACGGAGTGCGCAATTTTCTAGTATATGTAATACAAATACATACTGTATGCACGGGACAGAAGCACTAAATGAGTTATTTCCACAGAGCTTGCCCGTTAAGTAACTCTTGAACACGAGTCCACAATTTGTAGTATGTACCATAAAATCAGAACAGATTTTCATACAATTAGATAATAAATTAGATAATAAATAAAGTTTTTTTTATTTTAGTAAAGATTTTACGTACTTTTTTATTTCCATTCAATTTTGTAGGATGCATTAAATAGTGATTAGATTTTATATGTAAAATAAAATAAAAAATAACTGAAATAGTTTTACGTGTTGCAATATTTTATATTTAAAAAAATAAAAAACCTTCTTTTACGTATTGCATACCAACATTTTAGGAACTACATGGATATTTCTAAATTAATATTGCATACCCAATATTTTATGAACTAATTAAATACTAATTTGATTTGCATACCAAAAATATTAGATACATTAA